CCTGCAAAAATGGTTAATCTGATATTTATGACATTTTGCACCAACCTTTAGAACAACGTCCTGAGCAATTATGTACAAGTAAAGCGGGCATGGCCTATATGGTCTTATTTTTATTTCTTTTCACAAAATCAGTCATGGAACCTAAACTGTCAGAGTTTGATAAGCTTTTATAGAAAAAATAAAAAGTTTGCTTACTGCTATAGAATACTAAATACCTACATGCGTCCACCTGTAGGTGTCGAGAGCGTTATAGGTAAAATGCTTGCAAATTTAACTTCTATATAATTAGCCCCCAACAACAAGTATTTTTTTGCCCCTAAATTGTTCATATGTACTGACTTTTTTACTACGAATAAATTCATTTTGAAAATGTACTGTTGATTATGCAAATTAACACAATATGCTAAGCCTTTAAAAACTATACCCTCCAAGGGCGTAAATCTATTAAGCACAAAACTTCCTATAGCACCTATAAGAATGGCTCTAAAAAACTGTACAAGAGTTGTTTTGTTTTTAAATGACCAACTTATGTTTATGCATATTTAAGCAAGTTAGTTAGCCTCATAAAAAAATGACAATTTTTAATCTATTTTAACACATGTGCAACAAACTGCTACTGTGTCCAGTTTGACTTTCTGAATAGGTGTTTAAAATTTTATAATGACCAAATTCTAGAAGGTACTAAAAATGGACAATGTTTATATCTCAAAAATGATTATGCTTATTTGTACCAAATCAAATACAATCGCTTAGGACCATAATTTGAGTTGTTCTGTATAATATGGTATTCACTGGTAAAAGTGGGCATGGATTATGATTATTAAACCATTAACATTATTAAAAACCACACATTTGTCCTACAGAGCTAAGATTTACAGAAAATATTTCATGATGTATGCCAGAAGTGTTATGATACTCAAACATTTGTCATTTTGAAGTTTTCTTTTTCTTCCATGAAGAAGTCCTTAATGATGAAGGATGGAGAACGCTACACCCTATATGATACATTTATTTTCTTTACAAAAATGTTGACCCTAGGGGTTTAAGAATGATGTATTTAAATATTCCATAGCCAGTCAATGGAGAGTATTTTCAGAATTTAATTTCTTGTGATTTTTGATGAACTTTTGAATTTTAGTCTCAAAAGGGCATTTGACTTGCATTGACACAATGGTTACAAATTGTTCATATCTCAAAAATTCTTATCTGTAGAAATTGGATACACACTTACGTTGTTTGGGTCAACATGGCAATAATTGGCAAAAATAATTGGAACATTGGATGTAGCCTGTGTAAATGTCTGGTACCAGCTGACGGACAGAGCCGTATGGGGTGGGGTGGGGTGGGGGGGAATGGCCCCCTGGCCCCCACTGTTCCTGCCAATGGCACTGCCAAAAAGACAGATGAAATAATTGGAAGTGGCAGAGGTGATGATGTTGATGTGTCAAAAAAACAACCCTAGAATTAGAAAATATAATTTTCAAAGAGTTCTACTTGCCTCTGATATGTGACTACATTCAGAGGAAATTTACAACTGATATTTTTGAACACGTTCAAAATTCTAGTAAGACAGCAAGCTTCTGCGAGGCAAGAAAATTAAGCACCTCCCCTGGAGACTCCCTTGTGAGTGCTGTTCACCAAGTGTCTGACAGTTTCAGGTGTTCCTCAGTACCTGTCAAGTTCTCTGTTCACCCACAGAATTCTTGCTGGATTGTCTTTTGTCTGTCTTGTTCTTATTTGTTTCTGAGGTTGTCTCCAACATGGCTGCTTCTGGTCCTGCTTCAGCTCAGCATCCATCAACCATGACAGTCAGGTCTCCATTTTCACACAATGTACTGACTAGTTTTGAGCTTTGGATCCAGAAAAGAAATTTGTTTGTGTGTTTTGCCTGTTTAGTTTACTGCCAAACAACACACAGAGATGGTTTCTGTCACTTACATCCAGCTGTCCATCTGTCTATCCAACATTGCTTTATGCTGTTTCAGCTCACAGAGGGCTTGTCTCGACTGCTTCAGATCTTGTGAAAAACTCAAGGTGCATCCTTCACATTTTATTTGTCCTCCACAGGGCAAATACACACAACTATAGCTGATTCAGAAAAAAAAAACCATGCCTGTCTTTGAAAAATCAGCAACAGCCATGCAAACAACATGCAAACCCCTCACAAAATGTGTGCAATTTGAACCAATAGTTCTTCATGTGAAGCCACAAAATCTATGGTTTTTATGACTATTTTTAAATTTGAAATGTTATTTAACAGTTTCAAGTTACTTTGGAAACAGGGGGGATTCTAGAATCAATCTGCCTCTTAGGGGTGCTTAGTCCCCAGTGTTGGCAATGGCTCTTGGCTTGAACAACGCGGTGGCCATTGGCATCAGAAGTGTAGGAGTTGTGGTCTTGTCCCTGATGTCGTGTTTAAGTCTGTGTTTCCCCCGACCCTCTGTTTCTCTTTATAGGATTTGGGTTTTTCTAGTATCTAGCCCCATCTTGTGTCGTGTTCATGTCTTGCATCCTTTCCCCTTCTCTGGCATCTGTGATTACCCACAGGTGTCATCACTTGGTCTAAATGGTGTTTCCTGTATACCAGGTGTCTCTGTGTTAGTCCTTGTCCTGGCATTGTTTATCTGTTCAATGGTGGTGACCGTCTGTATTGTGAGTACCCCCCTGTTCATTCCATGTTTTGTTTTGCTGCCATGTCAGCTCTTTGGTTCTGTTAATAAATTCTTTATTTTACATATTTCTGAGTCTTTGCCTTCTTGCCTGTACCACTGGGTTCACCAGCACCAGCCAATTGTGACAAGAAGCATATGTAACACCCAAGTACTTGTAACTGGGGACCACGTCACCACTGCAGATCCTCCTGTTCGGGGGTGGGGGGTGGAGTGGGGGGAGGGACAGGTGTGTTTGTTCCATCTGAAATCCATGATCATCTACTTCGTCTTCTTCACATTGATGGTTGTTCTTCCTGCACCAGCTCTCCAGGTGTTCCACCTCCTGCCTGTAGCTGGGCTCATCGTTGTTTGTGATGCATCCCACCATCATCTGCAAACTTTACAATATGACAGCCTGGATGGGTTGGTGTGCAGTCATAGAGCAGAGTGAACAGGAGGGGGCTCAACACACAGCCCTGAGGGGAGCCAATGCCGAGGGTTATGGTGGTGGAGGAGAAGTTGCAAAATCCTAATGATGGTTTCTTTTATTTTAAGGGTGCTGAGTTAAAATTTAGGGATGCTTCAGCACACCCCAAAAGAAGTTAAAATCACTTGTGTTTGGAAATAATTTTCTCATATTTTGGATATTTTAATTCTAATTTTGTGTTAATTTCTAGTTAGCCAGTCTTTCTTTGTAAACTGACCTTTCTTACAGTGACAAACCTGCATTTGTTGTGTAGTTTATGTGTTGTGTAGTTTATGTGTTAGTATACTTAACAGTAAAAAAAAATGTTATAATAGAAGAAAATCAGTATCTGTATTTTTTCCGTAGAATGTTGATTTAAAATGCTGTCTAAACTGTGACTGTTTTCTGAATAGGCTTACTATAAAAACAATATGTGAAATTAAACAGATAACACTTTTACATGATGATATTTTACCTGATCTGTACTTTCACATCATTTTGTATCCAGGGCAAATATTGCTTTTAAATAAAGGGCAAATCAAAATAAATTTTTTTTCCTCCCTCAGTTCATAAAGTGCTCACAGCTCAGGGTTAAACACATTTTCTAGTCTGGAGAAAACAACTGCACTGTTTCTTGCAGGTCCCTCTCTGTATTCTCAGCAGGAAACTCTGAAGAAGCACACCGACGCTGATGCACAGGCATATGCACATTTGGACGGCTATCACAGCTATACGAGACATGTTCAAACCCAGCTGCTTGCATCGTCCCTTCTTGTTGGTTTTCGCTTGGATGATTTGAAAGACATTTAATTATTGAAATGCAATTAAGGCATTAATGCTCTGTGGGGATATGCACAACACACATACACACACACACAAGCACTCACACTGTAGGCTAACAGCTGGTTATCAGCAGGGATTAGGTAGGGATTCAGAGGGATGCGAGATTAATTTATTGGGGTTAGGAGGAGGATACTTTTTTTGAGTATGCAATGGCAAATATATACATTAATGAAGAGGAAGATGTAAGAGGACGTTAAGGGTGAAGATAAACAGAAAGGAAGTGGATTGATGGAAAAAAGATAAGAGGAATAGTGATCATGTTTAAAATAATCATGTGATAAACCTTTATCTGAGAAAAGATTTTTTTTTTTTCATTTTGGGTGAGAGGGGGATAGTTTATATTAAAATGTGATTATACTTCTCATTTTATCTTTATAGAGTTTGAGGTGTAATCATTTTAAACGAAAACAAACGTTTTTAAACAAGGTGAAAATGTTCAACATCTGTATTCCACAGCAACATAGATGGTCCTCAAGATCACCAAGAGCACACACACACACCTGCATCAAGGAGGTGTGCGTGCGTGTGTTTGTGTGTGCGTGCGCGTGTGTGTTTGGGTGTGGATTTACTAGAATCTAGCTTGTTAGTTTTCACAGCTTGACCCAATGCGTCTCTGGCTGCAGTTCATAGACAACAAACACCTTCCAGCCACTCACATGATTTCAGAAACTAATAATAATAATAATAATAATAATAATAATAATAATAATAATAATA